AGCCCCGGAGCAACGCCCCTAGCACCCAGCGCGTCCCGGCCATGGGCTCCGGAGGCGGCGCGGGGCCCGGAGGTGGCCGCTGTGGCGCGAGCCGAGGGGAAGTGGAATCCAGGGCGGGGGAGGGGGCTCCGCGCACATGCGCCGCGCGCACCAGGGCGCTGAGACCGGAGTCCCGGAGGTGGAGGAGAGCGGCCGGCTCCGCCTGGGCTCCGCCCTGGGGGCGGGGCTGCCTGGCGGGTAGGGGTGCGGACCGGGTGCGGACGGGGTGACCTGAGAGCCTCTGGAGTAGAATCAGATCTAGGCCCTCCTGCTCAAGGTAGAGCTGAGATGTTTCTGGAAAGAATGTGATACGTGACTCTAAAACGTGTTGGGACGATGCTGAAGGGGGCGTTCGGGAACCCTCAACCTTGAGATGGGTTCAGAAGGCCAACTCTGTTTTGAACTGAAGCACTGGTTTTGTGTGTGTGTGTGTGTATAATTTATGTTATATAATTCACACACACACACACACACACACACACACACAGAGACACACACACACACACAAAATGAAACCTTCCTTAATAAGACAGTATAGTCACAAATGGATGTGCAGAGATTATAAATAAATAAACGAGTGGTTTGCAGTTTTCCTCCTGTGGCCAGGACCTGTCAAAGGCAAAACAGATAAAGACAAATAGTTCTTAGATTTTAAAAAGTGGAGAGGCTGGTAGTGTGGGAGAACTGTATCAGTGGGGTGTAGCTTGGTGGCAGGGTAATAACCTTGATTGCCCCAACCTCATAGAGATGTGGATACTCCCTCCCCCCAAGCTTTCTATCACGGAAAATTTTAACATATTTCAAAAACTTCAAAATTCAGCCTTTTCAATTTCTTGAAGTAAAGGAACCGTCTTCACATTTTTCATAGTCACTTTTCATTTTTGCCCCATTGCTAGCTCTAAAACATCTTCTTTTGAAGTGTATAATGGCAATCATCCTATGGTATTTATCTTAAACCAATACAGACTAAATTAACCAATTTAATTAATTGTTTTTATTTAAATGTACGTGTGTGCGTGTGGACACCAGACAAGGGCATTGGATCTCCTGGCACTGGAATTCAAGAAGGTTGTAAACCACCATGTGGGTGCTGGGGATTGAACCTGGTCCCTCTGAAAGAGCAGCCAGTGCTCCTGAACAGTAAGCCATCTCTCCAGCCCCAAAACAGACATTTTTAAAAGTAATATTATGATATTACCTTTTAGATTTTTAGGATTATTTTGTTTAAACTTTGGTTTGTTTAACCTGGGCTACTTTTAGATAAGGAAAGCTAAGTATATCCCAGACAAAAACCTTCCTCTGCCCAAGAAGAAAGAGTGGAAAACCTGAGTGGTTTGTACCTTTTATACCTGAACTGTCCAAGACGAGAGGCTCTTCCTCATTTCATCTATGAGACAGAAATCCAAGTGTTTCTCAACCTTCCTAATGCTGCGTGCAACCCTTTAATGCAATTCCTCATGTTGTGGTGACCCCCAACCATAAAGCTATTTTCATTGCTACTTCGTAACTATAATTTTGCTACTGTTATGAATGGTAATGTTAATAGCTGTGTTTTCAGACGTTCTTAGGTTACCCCCTGGTGAAGGGTCATTTGACGCCCTTGGGGTCGCAACCCTCAGGTTGAGAATCATCCTGGAGGTTTGTCTGCCTTCTCTCTCTTTCTTCCTTGCCCAGTTCTCAGGCTGGGGACTAGAGATGCCTCCCAAACCCCAGGTAAGAAATCATCGACCGAGGTATATACTCGCAGCCAGATCTATTAAATGTTTCTTTTTCCATTGCATTTATTTATTTATTGTGTAATAATAAATACACAATATTTATTATTATTGTTGCAGGTACCATGGCCCCAGTGTGGTGGCCAGAAGATAGCTCAGGGGTCAGTTCCCTCCTTCTGTGTAGGTCACTGGGATGGAATTCCGGTAGTCGGGCTTGGCAGCAAGGGTTCTATCCACCCAGTCATCACAGCTCCTATAAACTTTCCTTTCCAGAAAGAAGATGGGCAGTCCCTTCATTGCAGATTATCAGCCCAAGGGAAAACCTGCAGAGTTATTGAAGATTCTCCTTCTCCTCCTTTTCCCTTTTTGTGTCTCTGTGTGTGCTTGTGCAGGCCAGAGGGCGACATCGAGTGTCATTCTGTCACTCTCGGCCTATGTTTTAGACAGGGCCTCTCACTGAACGTGGAGCTCACCGCGTCCACTGGCTTGGCTGTCCAGCAGGACTCCCCAGATGTGTCTCTCTACCTCCCCACACTGGGGTTATGGATGTATACTAATTAATGTACATGGCTTTTACACTGTGCTAGAGAAAGGAACCTAAGTCATTGTTTCACACAGCACTTTACAGAAATCCATCTGCCTCCTGAGTGCTGGGATTAAAGGCGTGTGCAGCAGCAGCAGCAGCAGCAGCAGCAGCCGCCGCCGCCGCCGCCGCCGCCGCCGCCGCCGCCACCCAGCTTTCCTCTTTTTTTTTTTTGTTATTGTTGTTGTTTTGTTTTGTTCAGTAGCTGCAACAATCATTCAAAATGTATTAGTCAAAATTGCCAAAACCCACAGTACATAAAAGGATAACTTGTAGCTTTTTTGTATGTTTGTTTTTGAGACAATGTGTTACTATGTAGCCCTGGTTGTCCTGGAACTCACTATGTAGACCAGTCTAGCCTTGAACTCACAGAGATCTCCTGCCTCTGCCTCCCGGGTGCTGGGGATTAGTCAGGAGTAAAACCAAAATTCTAATAGAAAACTCCTTTTTACATAGAGGAAGTTGGAAGGGTTGTAAAGGAGAAAAGAAGCTGGAGAATTATTCATTTGGCTAACAAACATGCACTGTTATTTTTCTGTTCCACGTAGAGTGCTATATATGCCTCGTACATTCAGAGATGTCATGGGCTTTCAGGTGAACTAGAGTGATGTGTACTTTACCAGGCAGTGGTGGCGCACACCTTTAGTCCCAGCTCTCGGGAGGCAGAGCCAGGTGGATCTCTGTGAGTTTGAGGCCAGCCTGGTCTACAGAGCAAGATCCAGGAGAGGCATAAAAACAACACAGAGAAACCCTGTGTGGGGGGGGGGGCAAAAAGTGCTGTTTACTTGGGTTTATGTATAATAACGTTTTGGAACATTGTAGCACTGCCAGCAGGGTGGCACATGCTTTTAATCCCAGCACTTGGGAGGCAGAAGCAGGAGAGCTCTGTAGGTTGGAGGGCAGCCTGGTCTACATAGTCAACCAGGACTGCCACAGAGCAATTCTGTCTCGGAAATAAGGAAACATATTATTTAAAACTCCACTATAAATGGCTGTGTGTGTTCTGTTTGGATTACATCTGGTGCTATTCGAGTGATGTTGGGAAGGGTTTAGTCGATAAGGACTAAGTAACGCGGAGAAGCCAGGCAGGCTTGATGTACGATGAGTTCCAAGGAAGGTAAAACGGCAAGCGTCAAAGCTCAGGTACAGAGATTGCTTCAGAGAGCAGAGAGCACTGCTGTTTATCTGTAAGTTAATCATAAAACGCTGTTTTCCGGTTCTGTTGTAGCGATCTCTTAGGCATAGCGCTGGCGGGTTGTCAACCGACTTCCTTGATGGCTTTTCAGGTAAAGCTGGTCTACATTGCTGGAAACACTAGTTGGGGGAGAGTACGGAGAAAAGCCGTCAAGCCTTCACAGCTCTGCAGAAGACATTACTATGAGCTGGGGGGAGCTAGAAGGGGGCAATTGCTCTCGTTGCTAATAAAGGAAGAGTTCATTTTATTATCTGTGCCCTTCCATTGTGAGAGGTGAGCATGCGCTTCCTCTGATGTGTAATGAAGCCGAATTCATCTCAAAGGACCCCCCCACACACACCCCTCTTTGCATTTGAAAGGAACTAAAAATCGTGAGCCACACATGGCAGCGAGCCCGGGGTGGCAGAGGGAATTGCAGTCATGCAGCACCATAAAGAAATGGTGCCCATTTGTGTGACCTTGGGTTGAGGTGCGAGGCCACATCCAAGATTAAAGGAAGTTTATTAGGTTGAGTGGATGCAAAGGAGCTTGAAGAATTGGGGCTCCCAGTTATTTCCAGGAACAGACAAAGAACCAGCTTTGTTACCGCCATCGCTCCCCGTTCCTTTTATCCGAGAGGAAACCTGGCCCTCTAGAGTTACGAACGCAGACTCGGCAATGACGCGAGCCTTGCTTCAGCGGTTGGCTTCCACTCGCGACGAAGAAATCTACACCAAGCAGTTTTTGTCTCTCACATGGATTCCGTCTGTGAAGGAAGAAAATATACTTACTTATGATTGACAGCTGACAAAGTAGTACATTTCCAAATGCTGCCACATCTCCTCTGGTTAAAATTGAACCAGGCCCTCTGGGAAAGACAGCAGTTGGTTACTTATTTGAATGAAATGTTCTGTCAAGAAAGGATAGTTTCAATAAAAAGTAAACCAGATGTTTTATATTTATTTTTTAATTGCATTTTATTAATTTGGCAGGGTTGGGGCGGGAGCACGTGGAGGTCAGAGGACAGCTCACCAGAGTCAGTTCTGTCTCTATACCCTGTGGGGATCAGGGATCAGGCTGTCTGACTTGGCAGCGAGCACCTTTCCTGCCCCATATTTTTTCTTCGGGAGACTGCGACTTGCTGTGTGGTGCGGTCACCCAGCTGAAGGACCTGTGAACGCCGAGTCAGCGCGACTCTGAGAAGTGCAGTCTGGGACTCCTTAGAAGGTGGAAGGATGGGGTATGGCCTCTTCTAGCCATGCTCATGAAAGCAGGTGGAAGAGGTGCTTGCCGTTCAGCTGCTGAGCAGTTATGTCTCATGTTTCTTCCAGAACAGCAAACAGTAGTTTATGACCATCTAGCCCCAGATAGAAAATGTGAGGACTATGAACTCTTGCTCAATAGGCACCATCCTCAATCATCACCACTTCTATATAGAGGACACATAAACAGGGTGAAAAAGAACCAGGGAAACTGCAAGAGTGGACCTGCACACATGCAAGTGTGTTTGCACACTGCTTCTACCTCAGCTTACTCTAGTGCAGGAGTGTATCTGCACACATACAAGTGTGTGT